GCGAGTGCCTGATGCCCCCAGGGGCTGTGCAGTGTTGTCCCTAGTAGCCCAGAGGGGCTTAGTGGCTGGGGTGTTGCTATTGCAGGACTTGCCCTTAATCCTTCTATCTCACATTCCTGTTAGCAAATAATCCTGTGTGGATACTGGGCTGTGCTCCCTGGTGGCTTCAGGGGAGCTGGGGATACCCAGGGCTCCCGCCTCCTTTAAATCACTTCCTCCATTGTGCCTGGGAGTGTTAAGCAGAAACAGTTATTCGCGGCAGAATGGGTGGCAGGGCCAGACCGTCACCCTGTAAGCTTATTGCCGTATCCCAGGTCCTTCTCCAGCTGGTGTCTGTCGCTGTCGTTCCACTGTATCGGATATTAGATTGGAAAATCTTTGGGACAGCGACCACATCTTTTTATGTCTTTTGAAAGGGCCAAGAGCACTATTGGGGTGGCTTAAAAATAAGACAAAACTAATATCTTTGGGCTTGCCTACACATGGAGTTATTCCTGATTAACTCCCCATGTGGACACTCTTATTTTGGAATAATAGTGCCTTGTTTCTGTTTAGCTTATCCCACTTTCAAAGGATCAGAGCTAACTCCATGTGTAGACAAGCCTTAAGTAACTAACTGAGCTGGAAACTTTTTTTTAATGCAAATGTAAACTTCTCCAAAAATCAAGGCGCCTGTTTCCCTCCACGTACAGTGATGGGAAAACTGCCATTTGTCACTGGTAAATGGATTTTTTTTGAAACCTGAATTTTAGAAACATTTATAATGTGAGCTTCTAGTTTTTAGCATCTTTACCCCCTTATTTGTGTCCTACCTTGGCCTGTAGCCTTTTTGTCCTTCTTTACACTATAAGTTGTTTGGGGGCAAGATTTGTCATTTTATTTTTTGTACTGTGCCCAGTACAATTGGGCCCCAGTCTTGATTGTTTTGTAACACAAATAATACGGCAATAACAGCTAAATGATAAACTGATAGGCTACAGAAGGAATCCAGTTATAAGCGCAAGAGTTGCAGTACAGGCTTTGGGTGGGGTTAAAATCGCTATCCTTATTAAGTAGGTAGGTTGCAATTTCACTCTGACTCTAGTGGACTGAAGGGCAGTTTCATTTTTTAAAAATCTGGTTTATTTCAGACACTAGTCCAGAGATGGGAAACAAAAATAACCGGCCTGTGGTAATTCTGCTGGGGTGGGCTGGCTGCCGTGATAAACACCTGGTGAAATACAGCACCATCTACCATCAGAAGGTGAGTAAATCATTCATCTTTCTATGCCAATATAAAGCTGTAGCAAGGCTACCGGAGGAATTTTCTCCCCTGCACTCTGGTGAAAAGACCTTACCCCTTCTTACGACTCCAAAGACGCCCTAGAAGAAAGTGCTGGGCTTATTTTTGTGTGAAAGCTCCTTGCATTTTCAAATAGCATGTTGACATTCTCTGCACGCTGTCTTTAAGACCCTGGTTATACTGTGTGTACAACGAAGAGGCAGGAAGTGCTTCATAAAAGGAATTCCTTTTTGCCTTTTTCAAAGTTTCTGAAGTTTTAAAGATTTGAAAACTGGTGTAAATCTTTGTCCTCCATTTATCCACAGACTATGTATAACATGGGCAGTGAGAGTGCAAGCTGCCTACATCTGTACAGACCTGGCAGGGCCAACTTTAAGGGTCAAAGGCAAGTTCAGCCATGACTTATTCAGCATCTGGCCTTTCTTCTGAGACTAACGAGTGGCTTTTGTGATCAGGTTGCCTAGCTACTGGGGATTGATTTGATGCCCCTAAACTCATTTCACACATTTATGGAACAGCCATCAGATGGTAACAATGTTCAGTCATTACCAATCTGGACAGGATTTGATATAGTGACCTAAAAGTGGAAGTTTCTGACAGTGTCTGTCCCATTATCAGTCCCCTTTTAAAATATCTTGCTTTGTTGGTCCACGGAATGATGGAAAGTGTGTGGCTTTTGGACCTAGTGGAATTTAGGCCCATTATTTCTCATCTGTTTCTCAATATGTGAGCATGGACTTTGTTTTGGATCCAAATTTGTTGCAAAGATAGATGCCAAAGTTCTCCTTTGAATACTACCCAGCATGACTGCCTCACATGGCAGCCTCTGAACTGTTGATGATTAACCTGACATGTGAGTTCCATAAATTAAAGTGCTACAGAGAGTCCTGTGGCACCTGATAGACTAACAGATGTATTGGAGCATGAGCTTTCGTGGGTGAATACCCCTGCGTCTGACTTGGGTGAATACTCACTTCGTCAGACGCAGGGGTATTCACCC